TTACAGGGTCCTTACTGTGGCATATTGCTGTGCTTGGTCTCCCCCGTGTTTAAAATTCAATGATGGGGTAGAGAGATAAGGTCCCTCTGGCCCCCACCTATGGTCAGTTTAATTGTTTATTAAACAAAGTGGCATCTCATGTTCCCCTTATCCTATGTAACTAAAAATAGGACAAGTACAAGTACAGGAAAACTTACAGGAACGATAGGTTGAAGAGGACCATGCTCAAGCGAGCTTACAGTCTATAGGAGGTGGGGTGTAAAACACAATAGGACCGGAAATAGCAATCAAATAAGGTGGGAGTGAATCAGAGCTGGAGGAAAGAGTATGAGAGCGCAAGAGACAGGTATGTGAGGTAGAGGCTACCCCGCGAGAAGTCCTGCAAACTTGAGTTGGTCCTACGCGTGCGAGCAGCGGACAGGAGAAGGTCACAGGCAGAGTGGAGAGACTAAGAAGGGGCATGCCTATGGATTTGTGAAGAGATATAAGAGGGGCAAAATTTGGTCAATGCTTTATAGGTATGGGTTAGCACTTTAAATTGACTCCTATAGTATACAGGAAGCCAATGTAAGGACTGACAGAGGGGTGAGGTGTGAGAGGACCGACTAGAGAGGAAAATCAGTCTGGAGGCAGCATTCATTACAGGCTGGAGTGGGGCAATAAGTTTGGGAAGACCAATTAGGAGAGGGTTGCAATAATACATGCAGGAAATTACTAGGGCATGGACAAGTTTTTTAGTAGCATCTTGCGTAAGAAAGGAGCGGATGCGGCTATTTTTTTAAGATGGAATCTACAGGACTTGGTAACATGCTGGATGTGAGGCCAGAATCAAGTATGACACCAAGACAGCGTCCTTGAAAGGATGGACTGATGTGGATACCACTAACTTGAAGGGAGAGTGAAAGAGGAGGATCAGTATTAGGAGGAGGAAAGACAAGGAGCTCAGTTTTAGAGAGATTTAGTTTCAGAAAGTGAGAGGATATCCAGTCAGAGATGGAAGAAAGGGAAGCAGTGACACGTTGCAGGACGGCATGGGAGAGGTCCCGGGAGGAAAGATATATCTGGGTGTCATCAGCGTACAGGTGGTAGTGGAATCCAAATGAGGTAATAAGTTTGCCAAGAGAGGCAGTATAAAGAGAAAATAGAAGGGAGCCAAGCCTTGGGGGACTCCAAACGAGACAGGATGAAGGCAGGAGGTATCATTAGAAAAGGAGACACTGAATGAGCATGAATTAATGAGAGAGGAAAAGTATGACTGTTTGGCGAGGGCAAGGGCTGCGCTCTATGAACCTAATATGAATCTATAATGGAGCAATTCTGACTGGGTGCGAGACTTCCACCAGGAGCGTTCAGCACAACGGGAGCATTTTTGCAGGTAGCGTGTTGATTTAGTATGCATGGTTGGGGGCGTGTCCTCCTCGGGGTGCATGTTTGGAGCAGGGCTGCAGTGTTCAATGCAGAGGTCAGGGTAGTGTTATATGTGGAGATGGCCAGTGAGGGACAGGAGAGGGAAGGAATGGATAGGAGTTGTGAATCAATAACAGCTGACAGCTGCTGGAGGTCATTAGAATTTAGGTTCCTCCTGAATTAAGGGGGGTTAGGCTGTGGTTTTTAGGTGAGTGGGTATTCGAAAGCAGATGATAAGAGGTAGTGGTCAGAGAGGGGAAATGGCGTGTTGGAGATACTCTAAATGCATAAGAGAAAATGAGATTGAGGGTATTGCCAGCTACATGGATGGGAGAATTAGCCCACTGTAATAGCCCAAGGGAGGAAGTAATTGAAAGTAGGGATGTGCATGGGCAAAACATTTGGTTCGATTCGTCACCTACGAAATTCAGGACTTCGGAAATTCGCCACTTCGGCAATATCCTAACCCTATCCCAGCCGTACCAGGTTTAGGGGTTGGGTTAGGGGGTATGGTTAGGTGAGGGGTAGGGTTAAGGTTCCTGCGTGGCACTCCCAAAGGTATCTTGAAATGGGTTTATCCACTGGATTTTTTGGCAACCTGGCCAATACTAACTGGGGACAAGCACCTTAAAGAAGTTCTCTCCCCCAGTGTGACCATAACAGCACGCTGGGGCAAAAACCTCTGTGATCTTTTGGCCCCAAG